CTTCAAGCTGCCTGGCCGCCGGCCGCCATCTTGGCTGGCAGTTAATTTGCATATCACCCTGATTAGCCAATGGGAAGGGTAGCAGAGGTATGGCTAATTACCATGTTTCTCTTTTATTAGATAGGATATTTAAAGAAAAAAAACGTAAGTTAATAATAGTTTAGATTATAACCAGATACAGAAAAAAAAATATTGTGAAAGTGGAACTCAAATTACTGAAGTTTGAACTATCTTACCTAGTAATAGACAAACATGTAAATTGACCATCCTTCCGCTATGCTCACCAGCCAATCTGGAGAGTATGCAAATTAACCCAACAAAGATGGCGGTTAATTTGCATATGTAGGCAAGAAGCGGCAGAGCGAAGATGGAAGGCTCCCGGCCGGAGCAGCGAAGACGGAAGGCTCCGGCCGGAGTGAAGGCCTGGGTCCCGAGTGCTGGAGGAAAACTGGTGCTGGCAGCCAGGGGAAGGGAAGGCCTATTGCACGAATCTCTTCGTGCAACGGGCCTCTAGTACTTAATAAAATAACATACCATAAATGACAGAATAATACTATTATTTTTCAATATAAACTATATATCTGTCTGTTATGTACATATGTAATGACATATATAAAATATATTTTGCATAGTTAATATTAAATATAGTTTATTACAATAACCTTAATTTAATATTAACTGCTGTAAGAATTTGGAGGTAGTAAATGTTGTTCTGGAATGTGACAAACTGGGAAAGTTTCTGGAAAGACATATGTTAGGGTCGCCGAAGGAGGAACACACGAAGCTGAAAGTGGTAAGAATTATAAATTTACTAGTGGCCTGGTGCACGAATTTCATACACATTAAAAGGGAATTCATTAGAGGAAATATTTTAATATTGCTATTTGCCCTTTATAATAGAAGTGTCAGAGATGAAAGAAAATTAGTAAAATATATATGAAAATCTTCCTCCTATCAGAGTCTGGGGCACACCGCGGGACCCAGAGTCAAGTCCCCATCCACCTGCGTGCACCTCGAAATTGTGTGAGATCCAGACCCAGGCAGCCTCCCCCATCAACCCCCACCAGGCAGGGGGCGCAGCCTCAGGTCCCCCATCAAGCCCTGCCAGTTGGGGGGCACACCTCAGGTCCCCCATCAAGCCCCACTGGCCGGGGGGCGCAGCCTCAGGTCCCCTGCCCTGGCCCAGCACCATGCAGCCTCAGGTCCCTGCTGATCGCTCGTTAAGGCTCATTACGGGAACCCCACCTCCGCTGTGGGTGCAGCCATCTTGTGACGGTGTGATGGAGTGAGGGTCAATTTGCATATTGCCTCTTTATTATATAGGATTTGGTCATCTGGATACCAGGTGGGCCGAGCCCCCAAACGGTGCCAGCACCCAAAGACAGGCATCAGAGGTTTTAAAGGACTCTGGCAAGCTTTTTCTGGGTACAGAATTGTCTGTGTAGGTCTGGATCCTTGGAAGGTCTGGAGGGGAGAGATAATAGTCTTAGCAAGTGGAATGTGGTCTAAGCAAAAGGGGATATCTGTAGTGAAGTGGCCTAAGGATCAGTTCCCAGGGGAGGGGCATTGACTCAATTATTTGACCAGACCTAACATTGGTGAGAAGGTCAGAGTCCTGCACCTGGTGCAGAACTAACCTGTAGTGCCAGGTGAGCGAGCAGGTGAGCAACCAGGTGAGCGAGCAGGTGAAGAAGGCCCACACTCCCTGGTTTGCTCAGAGCAAAGGGTGCCTGGCAGGTGCAGTGCAGTACTCGGTGCCAAGCACTTGTTACAGGGTCACAATGACATTGTGTGGCATTGAGTGAGCATCACCAAGTCTGCTCTGCATGAAGCAGGAGGTCCCCTTGCCATCAATCCTCTGCGCCTTGGTCACTGACAAGATTGAACTGGGCATTTTCCAGGTGTGTTTATGAGCAGAGTAATCCCACTTCTAGGACTATATCCTAAGAAACCTGAAACCCTCATCAGAAAGGATATAAGCAGCCCTATGTTCATAGCGGCACAATTTACAACAGTTAAGACTTGGAAACAGCCTAAGTGCCCATCAGCAGATGAATGGAAAAAAAAATATGGTACATCTACACAATGGAATACTACACAGCTGTGAAAAAGAAATCTCTTACCATCCACAACAGCATGAATGGACGTGAAGGGTATTATGCTGAGCAAAATAAGTCAGAGAAAGATAAGTATCACATGATCCCACTCATATGTGGAATCGAATGAACCTAATAAACTGATGAACAAAATAGAACCGGAGACATAGAAGCATGAACAGACTGTTGAACCTCAGAGGGAAGGCAAGGGAGGGTGGGTGGGAAGACCTCAACCAATGAACTTGCATGCATATATGCATAACCCTTGGGGGGACAGGGACGGGAGCGGCTGGAAGAGGTTAATAGGAGAAAAGGGGGACCTATGTAATACTTTCAACAATAGAAATTAAAAGAAAAAAACAAAAAAGGATGGTTATAGACTCCAGCCCTCAGGTTTCCCTGAAACTGTTCTCCACATCCCTTGTGTCTGGAAGCAGAAGTCACAGGACGATTGTTGGTGACAACCTGAGCTTAGGTGTCAGTGGACCTGAGACTCAATGGGACAGAATCGCAAACAAGAGATCCCTGTTTGC